AGACGTGGGTAATGGTTGCTTCTTTGTTCGGTGTGTCAGGACACTTGTGGGTTGAAGGAACACTACCATTGCTTCAGGAAAGCAGATTGCAAAGAATGAGACAGAGACTTCGTAGGAGAAAAGATAAATCGGGTATCAGCAGAGAACAGATGGCGGTATTTTAAAGATTTTGTTTAAAGCACAGAACGCAAGTAAGACAGTCTCTTAATTGATTAACCCTTTTTCTCTTAAGACAGTTTTTGTCGAAAAATATACTGTAGAGCAAAAGATAGCACTTCAAAAGAATATAATCAATTTCTGAAAAGAATGAATTGCTGGCATACTGGAAAAAGCACGTTAGAATGGCCAAGATGTATTTGAAAAGAATGTTGCTACAGAGAAAAGAGGCCATAACATGTTTTTTTTTTGTATTACAATAACAAAAGTACTGTAGAGGATGAAGTAAATGATTCCTGCTATGGAATGGGAAATGCTTCAATGATTAAAGGGGACAAAAAAGATGTATTGAAAGAGCTTTTCACTCAAATGTTTACCAAGCGAGAAATCAACAGCAAGCCTCAGGCAGAGGAAAAGCAAAGTTCTGTATTAAATTATGTGAGCAAAGAGAAGAGAAAAATATTACAGGTACTAAAAACGCACCGGATAATCTCCAAAATCTGCTGGCATTCTGCCAGCTGTAATTAAGGAAACCCGATGTTTATGAAGTCATTAATGAAACTCTTCCAGCAGTCAATCAAGACGAGGGCTGTGCCAACAGATGAGTAAAGAATAATATAACACCGGTGGTCCTTCCATAAGAGGGAGGCAAAGCTGACATAACTAATTACAGTACCTGATAAATCTGTCATATGTAAGGTTATGAAAAATGATATTTAGAACTCTATTTGAGGGCTGTCTTTATGGCAACAGGATAATGTGCATAGACAGTGTAATTACATCCTTGGATCAATTAGCTTCTACCAAACTACATGATCCAAATGGCTCTCTCTACTTCATAAGCTTTCTTATCTTATGTTCAGCAGTCTCTCCTTATACCCTTCCCAGGAAAAGTACATTAGGGACTCCAGTCCACTGGATGTTAAGGATATCTGATTTTCCTGTTCTTCAGAACAATGTGATAAAAGTCTCTTTATAAAATTACAGTTACAGTTTATATTATTTTCCTTTGGAACTTTTTCCTTTTCCTCACATTATCGGCAAGAGTAAATACTTTTCAAGAGAAAAACATACCTATCTCTCCACTTCAATTAAAGATTTATGCCAAGAAGCAAAAAACATAAGTCTAAACAATTGCATTGGTAAGAAATCACATAACTGATTTCTTACAAATCACAAGAATGAACTTCCCATTGTTCCCATTCCCATTGGAAACCAACAATATGACTAAATTACAAAGTGATTTTTTGAGAGCACAACAATGACACATTTGTTTGGCAAAACAGCTGGTAACCACTGGAGTTCAGAATAGAGGTAGGACTGTAAATCCAACACCTTTTGTCTGGTGTCTCTCTCAGCTTTGGTGTACTCATTTTGGTAACAACAGTCTGCTTGTTAAGTATAAGAAGAGATTCAGCAAATTGTCTAATTGCAAAGGGATTTATTTTTTGTCCGTTTGACAGTGACATCAATGGAATTGCATTTCTAGTTATGGAAAAACAAAAAATTGTTTATTACATTTCCAGAAGGTCAGTACTCTTTTGCATAGTTATGTTTCTGTCCTAAGCGCACATCTGGCGGTGGAAATAGCTGCATATTGCAAGGAAGTGACAAATGAGTTTAGCCAAATCTAAAGTATTTTTAAGTGTAGAATTACATTTGGGGCTCTTCTCAAACTGTGTGCAATTAGGATTTGATGTTTACTGTATATTTATCTTGCATGTTAATAACACCAGTGGTTTCTTTGTGTTTACTTTAAGCGAAAGTAATGAAAGCCATCCGAGTCGGTCCAGATGTGGCAGGTATTGTTCTGCAGATGCTGTGTGCTTCACCTTGCAACTGCGCTTGTACATCCTCAGCTTTATGCCCCCGTCTTTGATGAGAAGTTCAGTCGTGTGCCAAAAGGCGATTACTCCGCTATTGAGACTATCTCGGATACAGGCTTTGGGGAAAATCAGGAGTCCACTTGTTTACAAATACATGCAGAGGGTCTGCGGCCGTTGTGCCTGTGGGCTGTGGAATACACTGCATTCAGACGTCACGGAAGATATCGTCTTCCCTCGTCTTGCAGGACTTGCCGTAATCCACACTGGCATTTTCTGCAAAAATGTTTGTATTCCAGTCTGAATTCATTTTTTTTTTTTGACGTCTTTGAAAAGCCTCTTTCTTCAATTAAATGCCATCATAAAAATAACCATCATATAATGAAAGATGTTGATCTCAGTCCACTAACACACAGTTTCTCAGCTGGTGGTCTGCAACATGCGAGATAACGGTCCACAGACTGGGACATCTCGGGAAGCCGTTCAGCGAAGGATGAGGGTGAATGTGCAATTGAGCTGCTGGTCATGCGCATTTCTCTTGCCACTCCAAGTGAACAGTTTGAAGGATGATTTTATTGAAACACGGTGTGCTGTTTTCACTCAAGCATCACATTTAAAAGGAGCAGCTGTGATTTATACAGAGCACTCCGCATGTCAGAGTATAGTTCCTGCTATAATTCATTTGAAGTTAGTTGAAGGTATTTTCTGATGAGATTTAAAGATGCATAACAGCCCACACACAAACACACATCGAGTGTTAGTGCTGATGCAGTTTCCGCACTTCAGTCGTGCACACCTCCTCCAGTGTGGGTGGCCAGTGTTTATAAAGATCTCTGAGCAAATTAACGTCTTACATTGTCTATGGAGGAAGCTGGACAATGTGCAGAAATGAACAATGAGGTAGATCTACCAATAGTGCCTTATAACGGTCCTTTTCATAGACGTGGTCTTCTGACTTTACACTTCACTTCATTCTGAATTAGGAGGGTTTTGAATGACAGTTTACTATGGGGTAAGTTTCAGTCGTGAGCTGTGGCAGATGGCACGAAGGAGGGTCAATCGGAGTATTTGCTGGATTAGACTTGATGTTGAACAGTGAAACATGGTAACATGGTGGAGCACCCCTTGTCCGAACCACACTCACTGTGATTGCAGATTTATCCTTGAAATGTAGATGACTGTGATATTAATACATTTCTGATTCTTGTGTGCTGCAGTGTCCAGCTGCACAGTGTGAAACAGCAACATTATCCATTTTATATTCAGTGGTAGAAATTCCCTTTGAAATGTTATCGCTGGAGACATTGGGAATATAAAATAGTTTTGCAATTTCATTTCACATCAGATCAGTAAGTCTTTATCAGATGTTCACACAGTCTGGTCAATGGTTCCTCAGTAATCCTATACAGGGCAATAATGCTGCCATTTTTGTATTGAAAATGAGAAATGTTTAATTTATGCTTTAATCTCTTGTGGTTTCAGGGCTAATTTAAAAACCAATTCTTTCTCAATGCATTTTAAAATTATTTAAAATAAAATACATTTTTAATTTAACTTAAAGTTAAATTATTGAGTGCTATGGTCAACTATACACATGTATAATACTGTTACAGCTTTAGGTGACTGGGAAGTGTCTCTTAGATTTTAGATGAAGTTTGTGACACCTGGCAGAGTAAACACTTCTAGCTTCTCAGCAAGCATCCCCACTTTGATGTAGGGGAGTCCCCTGATCAGAAACACTTGTGAAGTTGATCTTGGTATACCTAGGTAAGTTTTGGGTTAATGACTGTCAGTGAGCAGTCCAGAAATACACCATGTAAGATCACATTTAGACCAGAGAGAGGCAAGAAGGTCAGAATAAAAGGACAGGCAAGAATAGAGAGGAGACAGGAGGAGTTGGAACTTGAAGATTGAGCCAGGCGAGCGCCCCTACTTCCTGATCATCCAAACAAAACTTGACTGGAGTATCTGAACCTTGCTAGGGAGAGCTTGCTCTTCTGTGTTGTTAGGGAACTTGGGCTTTCTTTGTCAAAGATGCCTTGGTTAGTGACATCGTTCATGCTTAGGGTGCATTTTTAGAATAGGGACATATGCTTCCATTTGTTTTGTGGCATCGGGTGCAGAAAGAGAGAGAGATTTAACTGCAGGTTGTATTGCATTTTTTAGAAAGGCAGCTTCTCTCTCTCTTAGCCTCTGTAGGCATCATTACGAGTATAATACTTAGTATAGGTCTGGAGGTTTTCTGGATGATTAAGATGTTAGGCCTCTGAAACGCCTTGTTTGTACACACTGTCCATAGAGTAACTTGTGTGTTGTGATTTGTAGGATAGTGTTCGTCTTGTCCTCGTTAATAAACATTTGTTTAACCAAGCGTGCCTGGATTGTTAATCCTTTCACCAAAGCTGTGCCAGAGAAAGAATTCACGTGCCTCTAATTATACCGTTCAGTCAATTTCTGATTTTCTCCTTTTTTGTAACCCTCCACTTGTAACAATACATATACCCACATCCAGTGATGGACTGGCGTCCTGTCCAGGGTGTGTCCTGCATGGTGCGGATATTCTGCCAGGCTCTGGTTCATTTCACATATGGTTATTTAAAATGGATGGGTGGATATATACTGTATATATAATCTCACAAGTCATAATTGTACGTGGGCCTTTATGATGGTATCAATAAATAAGCAGGCTGTGACATTCTAGACTGCTTCCCCAAGTCCTGCTTGCTGAGGTTGGTTTGAAGGCCTATTGTTTCAGTAGGAGAGGTAGTCAAGTATCCTGATGCTGCTGGAAATGACACCAGTTCTGGTCTTTTTCTTTCCCTTACCTGTTACACGTGGGAGCTGGGGGTCTGGATATCTCCTGAAACCACTGCTGCTCTACCCTTTGAGGGTATATGTGTTGGACTAGCTGTCTGCTTTGAGTTGCCCTGATTCCAGTGAAGGCAGTGGTCTTGCCCTGTAAACGGCCTGTGCAGCAGCCCTGTGCTTATACTGTACATGTGTGCGTTTCTTTCTTTGCAGGAATTTACTTGTCAGACCTCACCTACATTGACTCAGCCTATCCCTCCACCGGCAGCATCCTGGAAAACGAGCAGAGGTCCAACCTTATGAACAACATCCTGAGGATAATCTCGGACCTGCAGCGCTCCTGCGAGTATGGTGAGCGGCCCCAGGCCTGTCCGCGGGGGGAGGGGGGGCTCAGGCAGACACTGGTGCACACAGCAGCACAGCGCTCTGTCTGCTCTGGGACAGAAGGTCACACAGGTCTGTTGGCCTCCAGTGGAGGTGAAGGTTGCGCTGAAGAGAGTGGTACACAATGGGGTGTGCAGGCCCACCTTCCAAAAAACAGTAAAATAGTCAATTTTTCCACTAGAAATTAAAACATGAACACATTCAATACAGGAAACTGGTCATCTCTTAATGTTTTGTACCTCAGGCAAAACAAATATTCACAAAAACCAACTTCAAGCCGGACACAGAATGGAAAATATAACAATTGTAAGTTCTGGTATGGCTATAAATATTTATTAAACATCCACACGACAGCCATTCTGTTGACTTTACAGCTGCGGAATTCATCTTTACGTTGTTTTTGGGATTATCTTATTTTATTTATTATTTTATTAGTGGGATTCCAGATTATTTTGGTGAGTGATAAAATGGTCACTTTCATTTTGTTTCCACAGATATACCAGTTTTGCCTCATGTCCAGAAGTATTTGAACTCTGTCCGTTATATCGAAGAGCTGCAAAAGTTTGTAGAGGATGATAACTACAAGTAAGCAACATCGTTTGTACTAGTGGTTTTCTCTTGTACAAGCTAATCATCTAATCAAAGTTAAGAATTACTGCACAAAGCCTTCATCTTTTCAGAGTGAAAATTAAGATCTACTGTCTAAATAGAATGAGGCCATTCCCAATTAAACTGCGTGATCTTTATTATTAACTACTTTCTTTAATATACTACATGTCAAAAGAATCATTGCTCTTTTCATTGTGTTTAAAAAAATAAAATACAGTGTACAGATTTTAGATATTAAATCATTTTGATTAGTTCACTGTCATAACCTAAGATAACAAAATTCTGAGCTATTGGCTGAGTCCAGATGATAAGGTGATTTTAGCTACTGAATGTCAAATGTCGAACTGAAAATCAAGAAAGAGAAGCAGAAAAAAGAGAAGAGCCTTTTGCAGTCAGTATGTTGGAGCAGTACCTCAGGTAGGCTCACCAGCGGTGAAGTTGATGTCCTCTTCAGCAATGAATCACAGCTTTGTGTGAGCTTCCCGGATGGGTGTCAGCACATGCGGCGCAGATGTGCAGGGCCATGAGTTAATTATGGTGTACAACAGACCAATTGACTGCGAAATCCAGGTGTGATGGCCTGGGGAGCAGGGGGCTGTCCCTACAGCCCTCCAGTTGCAGCAATTCTTGGCATCCTGGTTACACAACGCTACATTGATCAAATCCCATCCTCCCTTCCTACAGGCTCAACCAGACATGAGAGCATTCCAGTAGGACAAGATATATCCTCATGCTGCCTGTGTAGTACCAGCATTTTGTTTGAGATACTGTTTGCTTAGGATACCTTACCTGCCGGACTTGAGCCCCAATTAACATATGTGGGATGAGCTATGATGATATATGTCATCTAATGCTCAGTTGCCCGGGATCAGGCAGATGCTTGTCCAGGCTGATGCAGTGGGATGGAACAGAATCACAAAAACACGTTGCATATACTGTACATCTTGTGCAACAGTCTTCAGCATTCACAGGATCCCCTGTTGATTTTCCCTGTTTATGACTAATGTTAATCTGCACAATACGTTGGCCAGTTTTTATTGCTGTTCCATAAAAAATCTATTCATCTTTAACATTTGTTTGTAAAATTGTTGCAGTTTATTTTAGTGTTCACTGATATGATTTTAGATTCAATAATAGCAAAAAAATATTTTTTTAGTTTTTGGTGCCAGTTATATAGAAGCTATATAAAACATCTTCTCTAAATGCTGTTTGCATATCTAAATCACAGGATTGACATGGCATTTTCTCAGTCTTTTTAATGGTTTTGTATTTTCTATTAAAAAATGGACGCTTATGATTTGTAGTGTTTTCTGACGCAACTATTTTTTCTCTTAGGCTGTCATTAAAGATAGAGCCGGCCAGTAGCACCCCTCGATCCACAGCCTCCAGGGAAGATCTTGTTGGTGAGACATGAATGCTACTTTTACCCTTTCCTTGCTGTATTCTCCAATGGGTGGGCTGAGTGTATGAAGGCCTCTGCATAATGAAGGGTGTGGAAGAGGCTGGAGCTTTCTTGGCTGGGAGAGGTAGAGAGTGAAAGGGAGACATTCAGTGGCAGGTAATGGATAAATTAGCAATATTGGCTAGTGCTTAACCGTACCAGCTGGGGGAGGGGGACTGGTGCACAGGTTTAGAGAGCAGAAGAGGTGAAGGAGGAATCTTGTGGATTATAGTGCTCATATCTTCACAGACCAGGAGAGGAATGGAGAAATGTGGTACAGTAGCTAAATAAAGAGATTGCAAGACCGAGAGTGGGGGCATTGGGACACACGGGGAGAGACTGATCCATGGTCATAGATTCTTGATTGGAAATTCACTTTGGCACACAAGTCTAATACCCTCTATCTCTAGGGGTATTATACGCTCAGTTATTGCAATAAATGTTTTTGGGAGCAATTATTAAGGATCTATTTTCTACATTTATTACATACTCACGTATTCTGGCAAGAGATGGTTATACTTTCTAGTAGGTTGACTTATATAAGATGAAGAGTGCAAACAGTATTTCTGTGGGGTTCTAACAAGTACTATGAGTGTTCATGGATATAGTCTTAAATCAGTAAATTCACTAGTGGAAATATAACCCCCCACCTGCTAGGAACGTTGCTTGAGTATAAGGAAGAGGATAGATCATTGTTAAATATTCATAGTTCTTTTAAACATTTTTGTTTTCTGCTCAATCCGTTTGGGAGTGCCACTGGCACAGAGAGAGGGTGGCAGGACTGATCTCCTCTCTCCCCGGCAGGCCCGGACGCAGCAGCTTCGCCTCAGAGTGGCCGGAGGAGCGCCGTGGCAGAGGGCGCCCTGGCCAAAGTGCCTCCCACGCCTCCCTCGCCGCGCAACCTCATTCCCTACGGTCACAGGAAGTGCCACAGCCTGGGATACAAGTCAGTGAAGCATCACCGCCTGTCCATCCTGGCTAACCTGACGTCTTTTTGATTGGAATAGTAATAGTTGCTTACACTTATATACAGTAGCGCTTTTCTGGACACTCCACTCAAAGCGCTTTACAGGTCATGAGGACTCCCCTCCACCACCACCAGTGTGCAGCCCCACCTGGATGATGCGATGGCAGTCATAGTGCACCAGAACGCTCACCACACACCAGCTATCAGTGGGGAGGAGAACAGAATAATTAAACAAATTCATAGTTGGGGATTATTAGGAGGCCATGATTGGTAAGGGCCAATGGGAAATTTGTCCAGGACACCATGGTTACACCCCTACTCTTTTCAAGAAACGCCCTGGGATTTTTAATAACCACAGAGAGTCAAGACCTTGGTTTTACGTCTCATCTGAAGGACAGCACTTTTTTACAGTATAATGTCCCCATCACCATACTGGGGCATTACGACCCACACAGACTGCAGACCCCACTAACACCTCTTCCAGCAGCAACCTTAGCTTTCCCAGGAGATCTCCCATCCAGGGACTGGCCAGGATCACACTGCTGAGCTTCAGTAGGTTGCCAGTTTTGGGTTACAGGGTGATCTGTGTTCTAAGTTTGCCTTCAGCTTGACTCTGGAGTTATTGGAGCACGTTCATCTGTTTCAAAGCTTGCTTTAATCAGAATATCTGGCCTATTGACGTGGATAGTAAAGAGAGTTACCTGACTTGAGATCCATATTAAGCCTTCTTCCAGAATGCCAGTTCACGTGACGCTGTGGGCGCTCTGCAGTGACAGGGAGCATGTTGTGGGGGGGCAGGTGGTATTTCCTTGTCTCCCTCTCTGGTGCGGCGTCTCGTCGGGAGTGAAAGTGGACCTGACGTCTCTGGTTTTTTTTTTCCCCCTCCCAGCTTCATCCACAAAATGAACACGGCGGAGTTTAAGAGCGCCACCTTCCCGAACGCGGGCTCGCGGCACCTGCTGGACGACAGCGTGATGGAGAGCCACACGCCCTCGCGCGGCCAGGCGGAGAGCTCCACGCTGTCCAGCGGGATCTCCCTGGGTGAGCGCCCGTGAGCTCGCCGTGCTGACCCACACTCCAGCCCACGCCTCCCCCGCCTGCCTCACGCACTGAATCCCCGCTGGCAGGAGAGGAGCTCAAAAACAACATCTCTGTGACCTCTTTTTACACGGATGCATTATCAACGCATCTTAAATAACTCCTGTTACTTAGAATTACACTGCGGGTTGGGTCATCTTCATAGTAACTGAATTGGAAAAACAATTTAAAGAAATTAAAGCCCATCCAATTTAAACAGAAAATGGTAACTCTACTGGCCCACATTAAGTCATGAAATTGTTGAAGCTGGAGAAAATAAAATACACCTGACATTCAAACTGCATACAGTATGACAGTATTCCTTATTTTATCCCTCCATACTATATTTTGATTAGCTCCCTGTTATCTGTAGTTCCTAATGACCTTTTTGTTTACAAAATATTAATTATTTTAAACTACATTCTAAATTCTGTGATGTTTTCTTACTATTGGACTAACTTTGCCTATCCAGTTTAAGTGAAAAAATGGCAAATTCGTTATGAAAAGGGTAATCCAGTTGAACTTTTACTACAGAAAGACATGCTGCAGCCTCAGCTCTGAACCGCATATCTGTCCACGTGGGATTGTACTGCTGATGGAATTCTGTATTGGGTTTAATCCAGCTCCTGCCTGGACTAGAGGAAATGTTTGTAATGAAGTCCATAAATCAATTAATCATTAATACCTGACAGCAATGAACCCTTATAGACCTGACAGACCTAACTGCTTATTTGCATTATAGAGGCTTTAATTGATTTGCCTTTGAAAAGCAGTTTAGTTAAAAAGGGATATCAAATATAAACATTATTATTGTAACTACATGATTATGATGAAGGATGAAGTTCACTTCTGTTTCAAAGTGGGTTGGATTACAGGTGCAGTTTTATAAACGAGGTCTAATCCTTTCCTGTACAGGTAGCAGTGAAGGTTCTGAGCTGAGTGAAGAAATGTCTTGGCCTGCTTTTGAAAGGTAAATGGATGAAGCACCATGTACACACACATGCACGCATATACACACACTTGTGTCAACAGCTCTGAGATGATGCCCTGAACAATGCATGACATGCTTTACTTAAAGCAAAAACAAACAAAATGGCACCTGAAAGCCTTGCAAATTTAGTAAAGACTAAGAGACTTTCAAAGACAAACTGAGACTGCTGATTGCCAGTATTAGAGCAAAGTATGTGAGAGATTCAGTTACTTCTATGTGTCTCTTTGTTCTTAAACACATCACTAGTTGCTGCTAGTGGGAGAGTACAGAAATAGTGCCGATAAATTACAAGTAGTGTGGTAGAATGTGTTCCATTGCTTGGAAAATGTGACTTATGTTTCTAAGACCCTTATTACAGTTTCTCGTAATTAGAAAATGTTTCTCAGTATTGTTTCATCATCATCATTTTCATTAACTTAATTCCTCAGCTTAATTTTATCAACTGAATTTTTTATATTTTTATTTACAAGTAAATAAGTATCATTTTTCTTTTCTGTGACATGCTGGAACATATGCCTTAACAAAACTTCTTTAAAACCAGTGTATAGATGCATTGTTTCAATGGTCCTCACCAACACTCAGAGCTTTAAAATAATACTTTACACTTCTGTTTGTCAAATGAAGTTGGTAAGTGTCGGGCATTTAAAGAGAAAAATAAAATTAGAGCTTTACTGCAGTTTTTTCACAGTTCCCTATTTTCTCTTATCAAAGCCGCAGATAAGGGGTCTAGAATACAGTGTGTGGGTGAAGCACCCCGGTAATGCAGAACTGCAGTTTACCTGGCTTGTTCCTCTATAGGTTCTGTAGTGTGTTGTGTGTGTTCTCTTAAAAACAAATATCCCAAAATCCAACAGGACCCGCTTCTATCACTCCATGGGCCCTGTTACGAGGGTGGCCCGCATTCCTTACCGAGGACACCTGAAACCCAGCAGGTACAGTCCCCACCTGACCCCCCTCCAGCATGGGGGGACGGCTCTTTAGTGTGTCCGTGTTTGATGGGCTGTGATCAGGTGATGGACTCTGCTGTGACCTCCTGTGTGATCCCTTTCTCTAACAATACTTGTAGCTTCCTGCTGTGATAGTGCTGGGTGAACCTCATCAGTCCTTCTAGTTTCTGTCTCACCTCGCCTCTTTCCCTGCAACACGTGGTGTGGGCTCTCACTTCCTACACTCTGGTGGCTAACACCTCCTCCCAGCTGCACAGGCGTCGTCATGCATCTCTCCCCCGAGACGCTGCTGCTGAATAACGAGGGATGCTGGGCAAGAGCAAAGAGACCCAGGGTGGCCATCGCTCTGAGCTCAGGAGATGCAGCCCAATGAAGCAGAACACGCCACATAACCAATTCAATCACTTCCAAGTTAATTACAGGCAGACACTGCTTTCTCGTTTACAAACATGTACATCAGTCATCAGTCACACGGCACGTGTTCTGAATATAAATATAGATGAAAGTTAGCTGGGAAACTGAGATTTCAAAACCTAAATCACGGAGATCTTTGTGCTTTTCTAGCAGTCAGTCGAATTTGTATCACTGAGTCGTGCTGCTGATGTCTTTCTATTTGCAATGTCAGCATGGCTCAGGGACGGAGCAGGGGCGGGAGGGCCTGTTTCCCCCAGGTGCTCGTGCTGAAGTGCCAGCGTTCCCCCTGCTGTCCCGCCTGTCCCGGGTGCTGTGTCCCCCTCCGCTTGCTGACTGTGCTCTCCCCGCAGCTCGGTGGACTCCGAGGAGCTGGCCGTGCACCTGTACCCTGGGGCCGTGACCGTGCAGGGCGTCCTGCGCAGGAAGACACTGCTGAAGGAAGGCAAGAAGCCAACGGTAAGAGTGTGGCGAGGGCCCTCCTGGGCGGCTCTGCCAGGTAGTTCTGTGATGCAGGCGGCGCGGGTTCGAGCTAGCAGGGTCTCCCCAGTGGCGGCACCCATTTGGCTGAGCCCCACTGAGGTCAGGGCTCTCTCTGCTCTTGGCAAGTGCGGTGACCTATCCCAAACGAGGTTCTTCATCACGGGCTGACAAAAAAACCTACAATCCTACAGAAGGCCCAGCGCTAGGTTCCTCTCTCTGTCATGAGCTCCAGTTTATACAGTCCCACCGTTAGCCAGAAGTACCCAGAAATAAGAACTTTTCTCCCAGACCTCAGGGCTGCAAATGGTCATAGAGCAGAGTATGCACCAGAATTTCTAAAAGTATAATGCAATTCTGCTCTCACTTTAAGAGGACCATAAAAACAATGAAACAAGTCATTTGTCACTTTGTTATAATTGGCTTGCCTGTTTATATCCATCTTTTGCAGTGGAGAAGTAATTTATTTTCGTAGCTGCTAGTTATTAGATATAGACCAAAGCACATTAGCTCTAAGCATTGATTAAAACCACCCTTGTCCCTTTTGGCTGTTGAGCAGTGGCCAGTTCTTTCTGTTGCTGGTGTTTCAACATCCTGACATGGAAAGTTGGAGTCACTGCCTGGCAAGGGACATCAGCCAGTACCAGTGTGATGGGCACCTCCTTACCCTCCTGCCCTGTGAGAAGTGTCAGTAGAAACTGGCACTCACTGATGAATTTTACAGGCCCATTTGCTGTAGGATTTCATGGCTAAAAGACTTTTATTGCATATCCGTCCCATAAAACAAGCTGTTATTTCTGCTTGCAAGTGATATTTGGGTCTGCTGCGCCTGAAGATTTATCCGGTTCCATTGTCGAGCAAAGAGTGGCACAGCAGGGGACAGACTTGAAAGGCGATGTGTTGTCCTCACTGTGATGGCCAACCCAGGTGGTCTGATATTCACTGACCTGCCATGCCCACGCTATTGGACGCACTGTGTAATTTAACAGTCTGGGCTGTTCACAGCAGGATTGTGTTGTTCACACAAAGCTTCTGTGGAGCCTGATGGCTTAATGACCTACTACAGCAAGTGTCGTTGCTTTTCTTTGTGGATCCTGGAAAATGTTGGATTCAAGCTCAGTATTTTTAAGTGGATTATATAATTTTTAATTGTATTTAACTTTAAAGCTTCTTATTTTGGGGGGAAAAAATAAAAATGTCTTCATCCTCACGTTTTCAGGATAACACGATTTAAAAAATCAGTGTTGGATCACATTTGACTGATGAAAAATGAAAGTGATATAGACAAGCATGCAAAAGTCATACTGCTTTTAATGTGTGTTAGGGAAATGTGTATCCTGTGCTAGTAATGTTGTACAGTATATACCTTAAAATATACAACTTTAGGCGAACTGGTCTTCATGCAGAAACATACAATTAAGACGAAGTTTTATTTTAGTGAGTTATATCATGACTAGATTATATGATAATATAATATGAAAATGAAAAAAAATTCATTGTCAACTAGTGTGTATTGTAGAACTCTTCTTTTCGCAAAATACAGTAACAGGATTTATAGTTGACTTCTACAGCATATGTGGAAGTATTGTGTACTGTCCTGCCAGCATGTCTGTGATTAGTGCTCTTTGAGTCTGGGGTTCTGAACATGTCGGTTTATTTCATCATTTCAGGTGGCATCTTGGACAAAGTACTGGGTGGCTCTGTGTGGGACGCAGCTCTTCTACTACCCTGCGAAATCTCTGAAGGCAACAGAGAGAAAGCATGTGAGTGTTTCCTGGTCTTCTGACATCATCACAAGTCTTCCTGCTCTCCCATCACTCGCTGCAACACAGCGTCTCTCTGTCCCCACACTCTCTAGCACATTTCTCTCCTGATGTCAGTGGAAAACCACACAATCCTCATGTCGGCGAACATATTTCAACAGGGCGACGCAGATCTGAGACATCACAGTAAAGGAGAGAGGCACCTCTCTTGCTCTCCAGTGCATTCAAGGAACAAAAACTACTGTATGCGTCCATAGTTTAGATTTATTTTTGTATAGTTTAATGTTCTTCTTTAAAAAGCTTTGTCTTCTGAATTAAACAATTAATTTACCATATCATTCCACGAGGAAAGGAAGTTTGACAGCTGGCCTGAGAATGAGATGAAACCACATGAGAGCTTTCAACAGAAGGCCTAGTGAGGGGGAAACACCCCATCCCCCCCAAATAAAATGGGACAATTAATTAAGGATTGTAATAAGCTGCTATCAAGCATCATGGTACTTTCAAGCATCTGTTTGTACTCACTCCTAATGAAGAGCATTACATCATTATAGTCAGTCACACAATCAACAGAAGTCTACTTTAAGTAATGTTCCAGTTTCCATTCCCAAAGAATGCAACAACATATAAGATTTCCCAGACACATCTGTGTGTGAATAACCACAAACAGTTCACTTTCTGACATGAAACCTGAGGTCAGACACTGCTTCTTTTCAAACACGGATTGATGGGTTGCCATTTAATTAAATGCAGAGCTCCAATTAACTCTTATCAACTTATAGCCATTAAATCAGCAAAGGTTTTCTGCTACAATTAATTTTGCTGGAAACATAATGTTACTTATTATGCTTTTGGATCTCTAAAACTTACCTTGAATGTAGATTAGATCGATTGACGGAGTAACTGGCCAAGTTTCTGCCTTGTCATTCACATTGTGGGCACACAAGCTGGATTCAGGCATACATTGCACTGCAAGGAGACTGATTAAACTGGCACCATGTCTTAGGAAAGTTTCAGAAGTTTTCACAATTGTTCATGGCAAACGGATTCAGTAAAGCCATCTTGACTAGCTGGCTGGAAGAGTGATGCTTTGAAAAATGCATGCTGTCAATTGTATAGCCAGCCCAGTTCACACAGCTTCAAATAGTACAAGACTGTTTCAAGGAAAGTGGTTTGAAAAACAACATAGGCTTTGGCTTAGGAAAACTTCATTAAAGATTCATGTTCTTTTTGTGTTTTCTTTTAAGTCTGTAATGGAAAACAAGCTACGTCTCACACACTTTCATTATGACTATATTAGCTATGTCTTGCAAGGAAGCCTGTTTAGAGCTATTAATGGCAAGAGCTATTTAATATTCAATCCCATAAGCAAGTTCTTGTAAAAAATAAGAGCAAGTGCTTGCTCTTAAGACCCCAGAACCCTGAAAGCTGTTCTTTGTAAGATGCATGAATACACCCATTTCACAAGTCAAGGTTTAGCGAAGTCACACAGATGAGCCTTAATATGGCAAAACTGTTGTCCATGGCTGCTGTTTTTGATTTTATTTTTGTAAAAACTCTTTTTCAGACATTTCCACCATCCAAGCATTGTGAAATAGCCAGATCTAATTTGTATTGGCTATAGCTGTGCCAAGTATGTCTGCATTCCCTGGCAACCTCCTTGGCCAGCACAGTGCCAGTAGAAAAGACCAGGCCTGTACGTCAGACAAACACAGCAGGAGAAAAGCTGTGGAGATTGGGGCCACACTGGCCAGTCTGTGTTCACTGCCTCCCTGTTCTGCGCCACAGCCTGCACGCCCATCGCCTGCTGCAGCTGAATTTCCACGCTTGCCCCTGCCTGCTCCAAGATTGGACCATGTTCTTCCTATTTTGAGTAACAGCAAGACAACCAGCTCCTGCGGTGGGCGGACCGCAGCATCTTTGCTGCCCCATTTGTGGCGGTGCCTGCTAAACGGCGATTTCTCTTTCTTTTCTCCATCCCAGTTCAAATCCACCTCAACTAAAAGCACCTCAGTTGTGGGCTGGATGGCTATGATGGCCGATGACCCCGAGCACCCAGACGTCTTCATACTGACTGACTCCGAGCATGGTGAGCTGCACAGTATTGTCCGGGGACACTGCTCAGCACAGCATGGTGCACACAGCGCGGTTCAAGTATACAGCACAGTGTAGCACAGCATGTATTTTGCAGTAGATCCCAACACGACATAGCACAGTGCAGTTCAAGTAAGTCCAATTCCCTTCTCAAATGTATTAGGCTGCAAGGTGCTTAAGGACGTCATTAAAACCCATTTATCTTTTATTTTTTAACATATGAGGTTCATACAATCTCAATGCATTTTATTCTACACGCATGTTTTTTTCTTACTCGTCCCACATTGATGGGAGGTGTTCCAGTAATACTCCTGCATTGAGGGGAATATGATTCTGTGCTGGAATCTGCAGCAGAATAATGGGAAGCCAGATGGGTTTTTTATTGCTGTTAACGAACGCGAGAGCTGAGAGCATTGCTGGTCTGCTGTTTCAGGAAACTCCTACAAGTATCAGGCAGGGAACAAGATGAATGCCGTGCTGTGGTTTAAACACCTGAGTGCTGCCTGTCAGAGTAACAAACAACAGGTAAGAACAGAGCCTGAGTCACTGGGATCTGCCTGTGGCACAGCCTGGAGCACTGCATACTCCCACTGGGGTCCTCTGTAGTGTTCTCTCCAGGTCTGCTCTTGTACTGTGGAGGATCAGTAGAGAACCACTTGTGTGCCTGGGCATGTAGAATCGAAACTCCTAGGAGCTCATGGCGGTTTCAAAAATCCTGCTTTCTCGTTGGTAACAAGCAGAAGCCAGAGAACAGCAATAATAATGACTAAACTAACAAATGAGCAAGGTGGGCTGAATGTGCTCCTCTGTCTCATGAAAAGTTTTGCTTATTATTTGCATTGTAATTAATAGTAATGCCTTTTAATATGTACTATTTTACACACTGGCCAGAACTATGCTTATCTAATCAGTCAGAATTCTAGTACAATTGCCAAGGTTTGCCCTGCTAAACCCTGCTGCCTCTCTGCAGGTTCCGGCTAATCTGATGTCCTTTGAGTAGCACTGGCATAGAGAAGACAAGGCGTAGATTTCATCTGCCGCACTGAGCAGAGCCAGGAGAGAGATCACTAACCCAGCAGAACAGCGGAGCGCTGCCCCCAGGGCCACGCTGGGCAAACCCTTCAAACTGCCACAGACTCAGCCACAGCGGACACAGCGAGACCTGCCACCCCCTGCCTTAAGGAGAGAGAGAGGAGCCTGGGAGGTGTGAGAGGCCACTCCAGGAGCACAGCGCGTGTTGTGACTGACTGCGTTTACTACTGAATTTGGGTGTTTGTCCTTTACTTTTAAAAACTTTTTTTTTGGTATTTTTGAACATCAAAACTCGAGGCCCTGTGTGCCCTGAATGGGATCTTTCTTCTTTTTGGTTTTTATCCCCTAGCTCGAGTTTCGAGCCTTCTCTTTAACACTTTTTAACGTTTTTTCGGCCCTTTTTTTTCTGTCCCCCCCGTCAAGGCAAGGGTCCTGTTTGTTCCCGGAGTCGCGCGACACAGCGCTCGCGGCGGGTCTGAGCCGGAACAGCTCCACACTGCCGGGGCTGAGGAGCTCTTCGGCCCGAGAGGGGGATGTTGAAAACAGGGTAGATGTTCTTTTTTAAAATTTCGTTTTAGATTTTGCAGAAGGTTTACAGAAGCGGAGTCACGCCCGGATTCCTTCCAGTATCACGTCTCTGAACTTGTTTCTGCCAGCCTGTCCTGGTGGGGGAATACTGCTTGCATCCTTTCAGCGGCGACACCTTTTATTCCAGCAGTTGTGCATCATTTACAACAGAAGGAGGGGGCTAAGGGATTGGGACAGGGCTTTCTGTCCTGTTGTTATCCAGGTTTTATAGCGTCTTGGGGAAGCACGCATTCTTCTCACTGATGTATAGAATTAACTCTTACCTGATTTCACTGATGTCACCAAGGGTGCTACTAATGGGGAAGCTGAAAGCTTGGTATTTTTGCATTGTCACAGCTGTACGATTTAACCTATAAAGACCTTGATACCTGGGGAGTCTCCTTAACAGGGTACTGGAAGGGGGTTAAAAGAGGTCAAGACCGTGCTTACCAGTGAAGTTTAGAACAGGGACCTGTAGAAGAGAGACAGGAGAGTCTCTCTGCAGTTCTTCAGTTAGAACTCATGGAGCATTAACAGTATCTCCCACCACAGACGCAGCCCTTTCTCACCTTCCTCCAGTATGAACAGACGCCCTGCTGAGGTCAGAGTCGGGCTTGGGTTTATGGACCAGACCTGGAACACGGGATGGACCCAGAGCCTCCATCTGACAGGCAGTGTCTACCTGCAGTCCCTCTGGTTTTTTTCTTTTATGTATGTAATTCCCCCCCCAAACACACACACACACAAAATGACAGTTAGTCCAAAGCTAAAGGAAAGGGATTTTAAGCAAGCTGTTTGTTCAGATATGAGAATGTAAATAGAACCATACACCGACACTCTCTGATGTTTGTCACCGCAAAATACAGAAGGCCCCTTTCCTAACAAAAAGTGAGATCCTGAAATTAAATTTGAAAGGCCTGAAGGAAAGCTGTGGTGGAGAGCAACACCATTTGTGGGGTACGCTTTCAGACAACAGCCCAGAGAGCCCCACCCTTCCGCAGGACGAGATACAACAGCATCAAGCAATTTTGGAGCCATTTCTTTCTGTTCCTTTTCTACCACCATCTTTGGAGTCAGCAGTATTACTGTGTAGAACTAACGTGCACGTCTGCGTTATTTTTAATTACCCGTTACATTTTTATTTCACAAGTGTCTCTTTTGTTTTACAAGTGTTTTGTACCTTTATTTACCAAGTTGTCTTTCTTATTTTATATGCGTCGTATTTTACCTTTTCTGCAGGTAACCTTGTGAGTTAGATGGTTTACTGTTCGGCGTGAGAACCACTGTACCCTGATTGTGTTTACGAGGTCAACTGATGCACATTTGGCACTGGGTTAGGACATCCCACCTCTGACACACAGAGTCGGGTAGCGGTGTTCTGGGAGGGCTGCTCTCTCCAGACTGCGCTGCCTGTACGAACTGTTCTCGGTTAACATGCAGATTCATACAGCTACTGTATACTCAAAACTGTTTACATGACCTAAAGGAAGAAAAGGAATGTCTGAAGTTTACAAGTCTTACTTCATGATTCACCATTATCGGACAGCAGCTCCTCCTCCCAAGCCTGTCCCCAGCACTCACCTTGCACCCTGAAATCTTCATCTCCAAGGAAGCTAGTCGAAAACAACAGGAGCAGAGGATGCCTTAATAAGGAGATAAACTCCCACCCATGTATCTGAGACAGCGGATAGCCTGATATCCAGACAGGTTCCTAGTTCCTCTCTTAAACTTCAGTCAAATATTTGTCACAAAATCAACATAAGCACAACAGGAGCACAAATCCAGCATTTATTGCCTACTTCTATTGCAGCTTTGAAAGTATTAGTTATTTGTACTTGAGTGTTAAGCAGAAGGAAATTAAATTTTGCTTTTGCTTCTTCAGAATAGAGGCTTATGTCCACCCTGCCGTTGTTTACCTTGTATGTAAGATTTCTGGATAATTTTAACAAGATGGGTTCTATTAAACGACAGTTATTATTTATTAGTTTTAGTTAATGATATAGGGGAGACTGCTGCCAAGATTTCTGGGGATTAATTACTGTGGCCAGGGAACAGTTTTGCACTGAAGATTTTTTGATTGTACCACAGTAATTTGTTTTTTCAACCACAACAGGATCATGACAAGCAGCTGAGAGAAGGCATTGGTGCAGGAAGGTTTCATATGGGGGAGGCAGAGATACAGTCTGAGCCACTGGATAGAGAAGAGGCCAGGGAGAGGGAGGGGGGAGGTAAACAGTGTGGCGTAATGGTTCGAGCAAAGGGAGGAAGGAGGAGGCCGTGTAGGGTTGTGATTAGACAGGAGGAGCACGGAGAGGGAGACGGCATGGGCTGAGACGCAGGGAGAGAGATCCAGGGAATGAGGGAGTGGGAGCTAATGAAAGGGATTTCACTGGCACAAAGAAAAGTCAAGTGCTTGACAGTTAGGGGGGACACCAGTGCTGACTCCATCACAAAGACAGGCTGGGGAGGGCGGGCTCTGCGAGATAGCGAACAGGGGGACCAGCGTCTGGGCTGCCCCGCGATGTCCTGACCCAGCCTCTCACTGCAGTGTGTGTGCGTGTGTGTAAATAGATCTATTTTTTTAACATGGAAATTTAACAAGCACATGTTTTAGCTTGCTTCAACGTATGAACTCTGCAAGGTCGCTAGGTGACTTGAAAACCGAGTTTCAAAGTTTATTTAAAAGTTTTTGTTCGGGCAGTTTTTGTTTTTAATCGCTAACGTCTTTTATGCATATTTCACTGCAGCTGAAAATGGCTCGAGTCTAAAGATAAAGATGGATTGGGGGAGTCGGAATTCTGGCTTTCTATTGTGTGACATAGAATGGGATGTAATATTTCTAATCTTACTTCCCATTCATAGTTGGAAGTTTTCCATGATGCTATCGGGAGTCACTCTTAAAAGTTAGTACAATTGTGTTGGAATTGGGAGAAAAACTAGTGCGGGTTTGCAATTTAAATCCGAAGAGGCAGAGATTCCAGTGACAGCACCTGGGGGAGGAGAGAGAGATGTGTGTGACTGTCTACCCAGACTAACCCAGTGCTCTGATGATTGTGAATCCTTTAGTATGGCACAGCTGAGTTCAGACAGAGGGTCAGATTTCTCCACCGTACGGCAGTGAGCTACGGGATGCTTTATTAAAAAGACTTGCTCCCTTTCAAGAGCCATGATGGAAAAATACAGTCCTGATGGGTTGATCCTCAGTGACAAAGTGTACACTTCTCACTCACTCACACAGCAACAAGCACACAAGACGCCACAGGGGGGCTCTTTTCCTTTGGCAGTAGTTCTTTTAGAACAGCATTAAAGGCCCATTACACAGACAAAAAAAAAAACAGGCCCATGCAATTACGTGGAAAAACCTACCTAAAGTAAAAACATAAATCAGCCAGGAATGGATTAATCTTCTAAAGATCCCATTTCGCATCTGTCATTAAAGCCAGGCAGCCTCTGGTCTTGGCTGTTGTTAATCGAGCACATGTGGCTTTGTGTGCTGAAATCTTGTCAAGGACAGCATTCTCTAATACAGGCTGCCTGTAGCCGATTTAAGTGCATAAATCTTCATAGTCTTCCTGAGTGTGTGCGTGTCTATTAAACAAAACTATTTAATCTAGTTAAACAGTAAGTCTGTAATGTAATGCATTAAGTACAGGATATACCACAATTGGACAATTGAAATAATCACAGTGGATACTACAATAAAGGCACCTAGTCAGGTTTATCAGGATTTTTAAATTGAAATCAGTCTGTAATGGAATCAAGTCTTTTTAATTTAGGTTTGTAATTCCCAGCTGTTGTATGTTAGTACAGAAATTGTATTTTTCGGTTTTAGGTGGAAATTCCTTGCTGTGCCAAGCCCTATGTCTTTACTCACTGTTGTTGCTGGATTGCTTTGGATTGCATTCTTCCTCTTAACCCAGTCCTGCAGGCTGACCTTAGACATCTGATGGTCCCAGATCATCAGTGCCTGCTGACCCAGTATGCCAGCAGGACGGTTTTTAGTTGAAGTTCATTTTATGTGCTTGCTGCATTTACAACCAGCCCTTCTGTCTGTGATTGGAAAAGAAACATATACCTTTCCTTCTCTGATGCTGAGCACAGATTAATCTTGTGTGGTTTATTCTGTGCCACTGTTTTTTGACAATATTACCAGGACAGTAAAATCCAAACACATCTGGTCAACACAAGCCAGGTTGTCTGGGTAGGCGAACCTGCACCCTAGAGTCTGTCACTGGATGTTCCACCTTCCTTCCCCCAGGCTTGGAATCTAGCCATGGTCAGTGTGCTGGTCTGCCAGCATGCCAGTCTGTCAGTGCGCCAGTGTGTCTGTGTGGAGGCCGCTGTCCCTGGTGCTGAATCAAGGCCACAAAGCCCAGTCAGGCACTATGACCTCTGAACTGAGAGATGTGCTTCCGGGCTTTCCAAAAAATGTTCTACTACTTTTCTTTCTTGCTCTGGTTTGCATTTCTATTTGTTTTTAATTTTTTAAAGACAAGATTAAACACAAGTCGATGTGTGTGTCAAAGAATGTGTGTACAGGTGCGCGTGAGAGTGCGTCTGTGAGATTTTATTTGTGTGTTTTGCACATAAGCTAGTGTTGGAACACTTTAGGTACTGACTTAACTATAATCTTTCCTACTAAAATAAAACTACTTGAATTGTTAACTGGTGTTGCCATTTCTTCTTTTTTTGACCATTAAAACCAAACCACACTAACACAAGTGCAATTTCTCTCGCGCGTTGAGCCAGTGATTTGATGCACTGAGCCCGGTTGCTACCCCACACTGACGAAGTCCGGTCTCTAGTACCTATGCCTGGCAGTATGGGCATGTGCACTGCTTTACACCTCTGGACTTCAGGTGGATTATGTAGGATAAAGTGTGTCAAGATTTTCCCCAGCTGACACTTTCTCCACACCGTTATTGAACCAGATTTCACTGCTGTTTTGATTTTTTTTCCTTTTGGAGTTCGCTGTTTCATATTCGCCTCCCTCTGCCAGCCCCGTGATGGTCTCCCAGCATCAGAAGAAGGCAGCTAAATTGTGTCTAATCTGCCCTGCGGCACACTTGTGTATGGCCTCCACAGCAAATCTCTTAGTCACACCTAACTGTGGAATGAGAAGTGACTTAAAGAGTACAAGGATTTTATTTTTTTTTGTATTTCCAGACAAACACTGCATCCCCAGGGGATGATGAGTGGCTTAACCAGAGAAGGCACTCCACTGAGCGCATGTTGATTAGGGGTTTGAGAGCTGCCCACCGAGACTTGAGACTGGGTCATGTCTGACTGTGACTGCGACTCCCACGGGCTCTCAGGAGGAACACGGGGCTGTTGATGAGGGACCCACCTGTCTTTTTCTCCCCTGTCCCTGCAGTAGGGGGCAGTGCTGCCTGTGATGTTAAAAGATGACTGGCGTGCTGTCTGAGGGGGACTGTCTCTTCATCCACAATTATGACAGAGTAACATGTCTGAAGTAGAGGACTGAGTGGAGATTGTAGCAAAGAGCCGAGATGTGAAATAAGCACACACTTGGCTACTTCAAATAAGATATGCATAACAAAAAATCAGTGGTGATTATTCAATGTGAAAATAATGTTTGTACTGTTTTCTCTCGTTTTGAATAATTTTGATTTTGTTCCGAGATGTCGCAAAAACTGATGTGACATGGCCTTAATTATGGGTGAGATCTTCAGCAACAAGTTAAATTAATTTAGTTGTTGGATAGAAGGGCTGGAAAAGCAGGTATCAAGAAAGAGACAGATTAAATCTTTTAATAAAAGCTTCCCTGGATGGGTGTTCAAGTCCCAGCTTTTTCTGAAGGAGAGCAGGATGACGGTTGATTCTAATCTGCCTGAAAGTGAAGAATGGAAAGCAGGTGGCAGTACAGGGTGCCTGAGAGCCTTTCTTCACAGAGAGAATTGCACAAAAACTAATCTGCGCTTTTCAATGAGTAATCGGAGATACGTTTTCCAGAGAGGAGATGGAACAGCTCTCCCTAGGCCCCCTGATCAATCTGCCAAAACATAGACATCTTTTTACTTTCAGGGCACATGGATCAAGAATTTTTTCCCTTTTCCCTTTTCTGAATTTAAAAGAGAAAAAAAACAAGACCATCTCCCAAGCACATCTGGATTCTAAGGATCTTCAAACGCAAGACAAAAAAAAATAAAAAAGTAGATTCATCAGATAGAAAAAAAGTGGTTGGGGTCACCTACATGAAATTGTTTTGTACCTAGATGGGAGACCTCCTGGGAAAGCTAAGTTTGCTGCTGGAAGAGGTGTTAGTGGGCCAGTAGGGGGCGCTCAGCCTACGGTCTGTGTGGGTCCTAATGCCCCACTATAGGGATGGGGACTATACTGTAAAAAAGGCACTGTCCTTCCGATGAGATGTCCCCACTACCTCTAAAGCACTTTGAGTGGAGTGTCCAGAAAAGTGGTATAGAAGTATAAGGATTGACAGCACTGCAAACATCATGAGAACTGTTTTGTGTTTTGAGTGATTCGTGTAAAGCTAATGTTAAATAATAATAATAATAATAATAATAATAATTGCTTACACTTATATACTGTAGCCCTTTTCTGGACACTCCACTCAAAGCGCTTTACAGGTAATAGGGACTCCCCTCCACCACCACCAATAGCTTGACTCCAGAACTTTTACATCCTATAAAAGCAGACTGATATTCCAGTGGATGTTATTGTGCATCATAGCTTTATGAACTCCAATGTGTTCTCTATGAAAACTAAACTGTTTTTAAAATAAGATTATAGAACAGACCACACTGAATGCAGAGTTGTGTGTTGATTGTAATCTCATTAGGAGATTAAATGGTATACCAACGCCCCCTAGTGAAAATGACTGTAATGACACCCCATCACCTCAACCTGACTGGACTTGAATTATAATAATAATAATAATAATAATAATAATAATAATAATTGCTTACACTTATATACTGTAGCCCTTTTCTGGACACTCCACTCAAAGCGCTTTACAGGTAATGGGGACTCCCTTCCACCACCACCAATGTGCAGCATCCACCTGGATGATGCGACGGCAGCCATAGTGCGCCAGAACACTCACCACACACCAGCTATTAGTGGGGAGGAGAGCAGAGGAATGAAACCAATTTATAGAGGGGGATTATTAGGAGGCCATGATTGATAAAGGCCGATGGGGAAATTTGGCCAGGACACCAGGGGTACACCCCTACTCTTTTCGAGAAATGCCCTGGGATTTTTAATGACCACAGAGAGTCAAGACCTCGGTTTTACGTCTCATCCGAAGGACGGCGCCTGTTTACATTATAGTCTCCCCATCACTACACTGGGGCATTAGGACCCACATGAGCTGCAGGGTGAGCGCCCCCTGCTGGCCCCACTAACACCTCTTCCAGCAGCAACCTTAGTTTTTCCCAGGAGGTCTCTCATCCAGGTACTGACCAGGCTCACAGCTGCTTAGCTTCAGTGGGTTGTAGGGTGATATGGCTGCTGGCGATAACTTTGGCGAATTATCAAAGGTTTGGTGAAACCTACAAAGTGGGAAGAGGCAGAGCGTGCAGAAAGACATAAGAAAAGAGCTAAAAGGAGAAAAAAGAGATTCAAGTATAGAAAGAGATAAGGGAGGATAAAGAAGGTGGAAGAGAGAGAGACCTATAGAGAAGGTGCCAAGCTGTCACCAGTCCTGCTCAGGTAGGGAAACAGGCTGGGAGCCCAGAGCACTGTCAAGACACAGAGAGGCAGATTGGGCATGGAGCTGCACTTTGCCCTGCCTGCTACAGCCTACCTTCTCCTGAAGTGGGTTCCCAGTTATCAGTCAAGCTGCTCCTGGCTCTGCCCCCTCGCTGACGGGCAGTCCTGGCAAAGAGAAGGATGCTGCTGCAGCAGGGGCACTCTGGGCAAAACCTGGGCAGCTCTGCCCGCAGCACAGCACAAAGAAGCAAAGCAGTCACATACTGTACACCCCAATAGTTTATTGCAACTTGACATTCGACTCCACTGGCAGCGGCTGGAATCACTGTAATTTGGCAATTTTATTACAGTGCGTTTGACATGCTGTCTCCAGGCCTCCCTTTTATAAATTTATTAACACGTTATTCATCATTTCAATGTTTTATTATCCCCAGCGTAGTCAACAAATACAAGATGCACTGACCGTACAACACACCGACTGGAAGACATCAGATCAATTATAACTGGGTTTATAATCATCAGAAAACAATTCTGCGAAGGTTCAGTGTTGGCATGGTCTGTGTAAGGCCTTACACCTCAGCTCCAGGCAAGGCTTGTCCTGAGGAATGACAGCAGGTGGCTACGCTACAGGAATGTGTTTAAAAGTAGAGGGGAGAGGGGCCCTGGGCTTGGAACAGGGTCTGTGTGGAGTCTGCATGTTGTGCCATGTGTTCTGAGCTTGAACCAGTAACCCGACAGCTATGCCTCAGTGCAGTGTGGGTGGCAAGTCTAGAATATTTGAGTTTTTCTATATGTGCAAGTAGATTCTGTTTCTAATTATTCTCATCCTTAATAAAAGTGATTACTGGACTTTGTATTGCTTATTAGATCTAGAATTTCACAGCCATACATATAGATTTGCCGAGCATCAAAAATGTATCACTGTTGAGGGTGTGTTGAGAAAAATAATGTATGTGAATTTTAGATATTGATTTAGATGAAGCTGTTAATTCAGTGTTGGTGATTTGGCACAGGTGATGAGATTATTTATCCGGCTGAATGTCAGGCCAGGTGAAGATCAAGAAAGAAAAACACAAGCATGAATCAACAGGCCCTTCTCTTCAAGAAAACATCCCTGCTGCCCCGGTGCGCTGGAGTCCGGACTTCCGGAGGGCTCGTCTGCAGTGGAGCCCCATCGGCTGGGTGTCCCATTGGAAACGGCTTTTCAACGGTGACTGCATATTCAGAAGAAGGGAGACTTATTGCTCTTACAACCTTCACTTCTGACTCAAAATTTGTGGAACTACGTATTTTAAAGGGGAAAGTTGCTTTTTTTTAAGTTGATTTAGTTTAAAGGCGCTTCATTGAAGTGTCCAATTCTGTGCATCTCGAACAGCCACTGTCCTGCCTCTGCCTTTTTTAACGTGGCTCTTCCTTTGATAGAATCAGACAGGAAAGAGTAAAATTTACATTTCCATTTGCCAGGTTAAGGTTTTGGATAAAATGACGGGGGAACTATCTCCTATTTTGTTGATTAAAGCAGCCTGCCAAATGTAAGTCTAAGCAATGGTGTAGAACAACGAAACCTTCCGAATCGCTGGTACTGTGGATCGGAGGGACTGGCGCAACCAGCACGAATGGGAAACTTTAAAGCTCAGTGTGGGCTGCTGTGTTACAAACCTGAGACTGGATTGGCTGGCTTCTCAGAGGCAGACGTGATAGCAGCATCACTCAATTTACATGAATCTGATCAGACACATTTTAAAAGAGGTGGAAAATCACCTTTCTCTGCAGAATGGTCAAATATGAAAAGGATAAGGATAATACGGTATAAGAGAAATCTATAGCATTTTTTTTTGGATGGAGACTACCATCAGATCTTTAAGATCGCCAGATCCTAGAGACAGAAGAAGAGTCTTCCTTCAGAGGTACGGAGCGCCGTATTTTTAATTCTCCCTCCTCTCAGCGCCCGGGCGGCAGTCGCAGGCTTGGAGCGGTAGCACACGTGTCACTTTAAGAGAAGGGGAGGCGTGGAGCCGGGCCGCATGAGGAAGTGTAGAGCTGGGGGTACAGGGGGAGAGAGACGGCAGGAAGGAAGAAAACAAGCGCTGGAGTCTGTAGCGAGCGACACCAGGCGAGAAGGTTTTTTATGTGTTAAATCGCAAAATCGGCAACGCGGAGGCACTGGCTATCTCGGACCACTCTCCCTGAGAGCAACATAGGTAGGTGTGAACTGAGAGAGCAATCGGACTCCGGCCACCGTGCAGCAATCGGGTAAATTGGCCGTGAAAGAACACAGTTTCAGTGGTTCGTGATGATACAAAGGCATTGCAGTGGGGTATGTGTGCTTTTCTTGTTATATCTCAAAACTGGAAATTAAATATATATATTTTACCTGCTGTAAAAATAAGGTAAAGGGATGCAATAACAAAATAACGAACGAGTCACGAAATCTCGAGTGGTGCAGAAAAGCAACTGGCAGACGGTCGTCAGGAGGCACGAATGTCATAATTCCCCACATGTAGTTACGGTTTCTTTGCACAGTCGGTCTGTGGAAAGCTACGATAGGAGATTGAGTTGTATAAAGCACGCTTTGGGGTCGGTAGCTACAAATTCCTTGCTATTTGGTTAAAGCGGCTCCTAAATGCTACAGTACGTAGTGTGACTGAATGCTGTACTTAGAGGCACTATGTAAGGCATTGGGAAAATCCTTTGACGCTCGCAAAAATACGCGTAAATAAACAAATGCTGATTTTCTTATTCAAACTCTTTGCCCTTTATATTCGTTTTATTATGCCTGTGTGTAATGATAACTATCGGGCACCATAAACGATATTGGAGAGCACTGAGATTTATGAACACTAGAAACAAATACACTAGCTATAGAGATGGATAGACTGTAGGTCGGGACGCGAACTGGGCCACAGCCGAGCTTCGGACTTCGCAGTCGGTACCAGGCGACAGGAAAGTTCGAGTGTTGTGACTGGCGGTAGGCCTCTGCGCGTCTTGGCAGCCGGATTTTTTTTAAGACTTTGTGTGTTGCACAGTAGGTCTGGAGGGCAAATGAAAGGCTGGATTGTGAGGATGAGATTTTATGGAATATACCTTCCTGCCTGCGTGGCTCCTTTTTACATTCGCACGGAGGTGATGATGAGGTAAATCTTAAAGGGGTAGAAGGCAACGGCCGAGCTTGGCGATCACTTGTAATATCATCCTGTAGGCTAGAGAAAATATCCTTTTTTTACTGTATATTGCTCAGTACACAAGGGGAGATAGCAAGGATTTAGAAGACCACGAACTACAAAAAATGTATGGTGTATAGTATATAGGTATAATTATATATCGCTAAAGGGAAAATGTTAAAATTCTGGCGTTTTGTTTTCGTTTAAAACTTTTATTATGAAAAATCGTCTGTTCAGGGTCGTCATCACAAGACTGCTTTTTAAGAACGAGGTTAACGAAATCTATTTTCAGATGTATGCTGGGCCATGAAAACTTCAGTAAGGTGGAATACCCAGTAAAGATTATTATTATAGAGCGTCTGAATGTGTGTTTTTCTCATGTGTAACATTTAAAAAGGGGCTGTCTTTTCATACATTACAGTCATGGAGGTATGGAGCACGCAGGAGTGGCGAATAGGCTATAACTAGGCATGGAGAAGGCAGACTGCTGTTCTTAATTCAGCTGGCCCTGATTTACAGCAGTATATTAGCCTCCAATAGATTACACGGAGCGCTGTGCTTTCAAGAGACATTTAGGGTATGCTAAGGCACAGGAACGTTTCCTGATCTACATCAGATATGTTAATTTGTAATAAGTTTGAATGCAATGACAGGGTGCCCCACCTAAATGTGCCATTGTTGTCCTGTCATTGTATACGGTGCCTTTTCTCTCTGAATACCACCTCATTGTGCATCGCACAGTCAGACTGTGGTAGAGGCCAGACATTTTACAGCACAAGAGTTTCAGAATCCAAGATAGGGGGGTTTTCAGAGTGAAAATGCAGTCAAACCTCAATGCAAAAACGTGGGAGAAAACAGGTTCGCATTCCCCTAACTCGCTCAGGCAACAGGGTGGATGGATGTCAAAGTGCGGCTTCATGCAGACAGCCAGTGACTCAGGGTGACCTGGGACCAGATAGGAGTCGAGCTCTTGAGCCTGGCTGGATCAGCTCCGTGCTCTCCCCATCTGAGTCTCTAGGGCTGTAATAGCACATACGTAGGTAATGAGGCTTAGACTCGGTGTACTTCAGGTGTCTTACGTTCTTATCTTGAAATGTTGCCGCAATGTAAAAGGTGAAATGTTCTAATCCAGGATACAGTCCATATGAGCATTAATGGTCAGAAACCAAGTTAAGGGAGCAAACGTCACAGTGCTGATATATAGTCAAGAAAAACAGTTGAAGGTAACATACTTCTTACCAGTACACTCATTTAAAAACGTGATACCAGCTTGCAAATGGTCTGAGCCTCATTCTAGCAGTATTCAAACCATGATTTAAGATTATTAGTCTACAGTGCGTTGATCTCCAAAATAGACTTCACACACATGCAAAATTGCTCATATCTATTGGAAGGTGATGCGGGGGAAGTAAACGAAATTCAAAAATGTTAAGAAGCTGTGCAAATCAAACCTAATGTTAACAAGTGTAAGTAATGCAGAGCATGTAGCTGAAATGCACGTCGCAAAATATCGAAAAGGAAATATGAACAAGCAACTGCAATACAAACGGTTTAGGCTTTTGTGCTGATTCATCTTCTTCCTCTCGGATTAAGGCAGAAATCGCCCACATTTAGGTCTTTGATAATTAGCGGTCATCTGACTCCCTTTAGCAATTTGAACAAGTTCACGTTTGACTAGAAATTCAGACTCCATTGCATAATTTTTGGTGAAACGTTAGCTGTAGTGAGATCTGCTACTTAAAAATGACTTGACAAGCCCTGATGAAAGTGCATTAACGTGAGCAGCAGCTAATGAAGACTTTCTGACATGTAACCAACCTTGCAGAGTCCACAGGGGAAACAACACGACCTGCTCGCTGGGGTTAAATCGGAAATCTCAGCGTCTGCCAGGCTGCAGATGTGAAAGAGATCAGGAGAAAAGACCAAAGAAAGTCCTCAACACACCAGCAGCTTGTTAATTACACTTTCTCCTAACAGGGAGGTGCACAGTTGGGTATGCTGCTTTGTGTATTTATGCATTTACTGAACAAACACCCTATCCAGGGAGACTTACAGTGTAGAAAACTTGTGTAGTCCTTTGTGTAAATATTGGAACAGTTTTGCAGGTAAAATAAGATACAAGAGGATTAAAATGACATTAAGGCTAGCATCAATTGGAAAAGTTTAAATTGACGGATCTTATGTTAAAATTGTGTTCCACACTAAAATGGCCTCATTTAGAATCTTGTGTACAATATTGGTGATCACGTAATAGAAAAGATATTGTTGCTCTGGAATCCATCCAGCGAAAAGAAACCAGGGACTGTCCTACTCTGACAAGCTGAAGGAACAAGTTGACTTGAAAGGGGACTTGAAAAAAATATTTTAAATCCTTAAAGAGACTTAATCCAGGGGCGTTTCTCTAAAGGAACAATGAAACACGAGTGGATGCTGCTTGGAAGCGCTTTTAAAGCTCAGAGCAGGAGGCACTTGTGAGTGTGGAACAGGCTACACAGCCGTGTTGTTGATGACAATGACATGGCTTCTCTCAAGAAGTGTCTGAATGAGGTTTTGAGATAAATGAACTTGTAACTTCCTAACAAGCTTGATGATCTGCTCTTGTTTTAGGAAGAGCAACACAAGTGCAATGTGAAACTGCTTGCCCCTGGAGTTATGACATCACGTAGATTGAACTCAGTATTTTGTTATCCCAAGGAGTAGCATTAATTCAAACAAGGAACAAGCCTATCTGCACACTGTTTAAAGAGTAAATAACATCATACAGTACCAGTCAACAGTACACCTCCTTGAAACCAGGTTTTTCATGATTATCTGTGCTTTAATCTGCATATACTTGTCTGTAAACACTTCAGATTAAAGTACGTGATATGTGTACTTATAATCTTAAGTGAACTGCATTGAAAATGTTAATTTTTCATTTTCAATAAAATAAACACCCACAGCAAGCAGATTTCAGTCTGAAGCCCAGGTTAGTTAAACATCAGAAATGTGTATAACATGGTGTTAGAACAGTAAAAGAAGTTTAAAATTCTTTGTTAGATGTTCTCACAGTTAACTAGAATGTTACTTAATTTACCTTTGTCACCAATTATTGGTAAACAGGTGAGGGTTCATGATTACTATAAATATAGGGAGCATGGGCAAAAGTTTGTAATTCCTGAATGAACATGGCAAAGTTTGCTCAGTTAAGCAAGGACAAAAGACAGTGTATAATCACTTTAAGAAATGAAGCTCAATCTTTATGACAAATTGCAAGAACTTTGCAAGTGTCAGTAATTGCTGTGGCCAAGACTATCAAATGATATGAAGAAACTGGCACTCATGAGGACTGAAAAGTGTCAGGCAGGCCAAAGATGACCTCAGAATCAGAGAATATGTTCATTAGTGTCGCAAGTCTGCGAAACCGGCGACTGGCCTACCAGGAAGATTTGCTGCAAAGAACACACTGTTAAGAGTGCAGAATAAGAGGAAGAGTCTTGCCTGGGCCAAAAAACACAGAAACTGGACCTTTGAGGCCAGCTTCACGCAACCTCCTCTGAACAGTTGATGTTGAAACATCTGGACTTCTAGCTGCATTGAGCTCAGCTTGCATTGAGCCCTGTATTTCAGGGGCAGTTAGTCACCGGTTTCACAGAATTGTGACTCTAATGAATGTATTCTCCGGTTCTTTGGTCACAGATAATTCAGAAAAACCTGTTTTCAAGCTGGTGTACTCAAACTTTTGACTGTATGTACCAATAAGATCTTGGCGGATAATGTGGACTGTTGTGTTTTCTTAAGACGTACATATAATTTATGCGCAAGAGCTACACTCCACAGAAGATTCATATTGATGTATTGTTTGCATTTTCTCATTATTGTGGTGGTATATATAGTTTAAAAGCACAGAATTTATATCAAGGGATGTCATCTTAAAAATGTCTAATGCACTAGTAATGCCTTGTTTATCATGTTGGGCACAATTGTAGCAACAGTGGGCACTCCTGGTTATCATGCATATTAGTAATATTTCCCCCATAATGGAATGTAGCAGATGGCTCGTACAGAGAAAGGGTATTTTTATTTAGATTAGTCTTCACGCAGGTACCTTCTCTTACCTTCTGACCAAGTTGTGAATGTGCTGCTGTTCTATAGCAGTATGTGGCGTATATTTATAATCATGGCTTCTGCACCATTCCTTCAGCTACCTGCTGTAGTGTAACTTTTCGACTGGACTTTTAAGGCAGCCCTGAATTGCACATTGACCTTTCTGCTGTAAGTCTTCTATTGCATGACGCCTCTGATGTGATGGAAGGCAGTGCTGTTTTAAACGGAGTCCCAGTGAAATCCCTAGTGACTGAAGGCATTGCTCTGCACTTAATGCGTTTCTCTTTGTATCCTCTCCACCTTCCCCTTCCCCCTCTTCTCCATCTCCATGTCGAACTGCATCTCCGTCTTTTCTCTGCCTCTTCTTCGCTCCTTACTGCATCTTCCCTTCCACTCCGTTTCTCTTTTCTCGTCGGCGCTCATCCCCCTCTCTTTCACCAGCACCTTCACCCCCGAGGACTGACCTTCCCCGGAGACCACCGTCGGCCTCGGTGCCGGTTGCCATGGTGACCTGCCATCCACGGTCTGGGCCTTAGGTGTAGTGATGCTTTTGCACTTTAATCCTCATCAACCTGCCTGGAAAAGAGAAGGCAGGAAGGACAGAGGGAGTGAAGGAGAGGTGGAGAGAGCCCTTGGGAAGTGACAGACTGTGTGCTCTCAGAGCTACGGTGATTCTCCAGTCCGTGAACGCTAACTTGCAGCAGCAGTTCAGCGCAGAGTGTGCTGCCTGGCTGTCGGCTCATGGCCGACTTGCCCACGTGGCACCCTGCCTCAGGCAGACGAGCTCGGGAAGGGGCAGGGGCGAGCCCAGCCAGCCCTGCCTCATGCCCACTGCAGACCCGCAGGGACACCGCAGGGACTGGGAGTGTTGCAGTCTGACATCTCGGAGAAATAAAGAAACAGTGGGGAGGCGGAGACTGATGTTCTGCGGCCATAACCGGAGGAGAACGACATTTTTAAATGTTAAAACATTCTGAGATTCTTTTTTTAAAGAAAGAATTCTTCTTGTGCCGAATGACTGCAGGAAGGTATTATTTGGGTTTCAGATATATTTCATGGATGAGTAAAAACAGGGGTAAATAAGCAGTGCTAGGCTCTGCTCATAAACCGGGCAAGGAGAGGCTGACCGAGAGAAGCGGGAGAGAGCTGAGGGTCTGGCGCAGAGGGGGGGGAGAGAAGGGCCCTGCTGCCACAGGCCCAGGACCGGCAGTGAGCCCCAGCCTGCCTGAATCCGGGCCGGCCGTGCCAAGACAGCTCCAACGGCTACCAGCGCGGCCGCCCGCCTCCAGACAGGGGTGAGGAGGGGGGGCATCCTCTTCTGACGGGGTCAGGCGCAGGAGTCTCTTTCAGGAGTGCCCCTCCTTCTGCCTGGAGTTTGTTCTGCAGTAAGCCGGAGTGGGAATCTGGGAGCTGATCCGGAAGAAAAGAGCAGGGCAGTGATAAAGCTTTCCATGCGTGCGGGACGGGGGAGGCGCTGCTGGAAGCGCAGAGGTGCACAGCGGTCCGGCACTGAAGCAAACTGCCCTGCCGCCCAACCGCACTGGCAGGCAGGAGCACGGCCTGAGCCGGTGCCCGGCATACAGGCACATGCCAAGAAGGGAGGGAGAATGTGCCAGTGCCCGGGGGGGCTGGAGACAATCCTTGTTAGTGTAGTTCTCTTGTGCACCTCAGTAATGCATGCAGTACAGGCTGGTCATTGTGTTCTCCTAGCTGGCTGGGTTTCTCTCTATTTGTAATGGCAGCGGTGACTGATCACTAACTGACATTTCCCGCAGACAGAGATTGACTGATTCAGGCCATCCTGTCTGTCAGGCCTGGATTAGGGGGATTAGGATTGATTAGTTCCAGATCTGAGAGCACTCGCGCCTTCAGACGGGGGGGAGGACTGAGAAGGCGATGTGGCGTGGGTATATGTGAACTGGACTTTTATTGGTATGGTGTAGTTGTGTGTGTTTGTGGGTGCAGTGTAGCCGTTTCAGTGTCGCCTCCTGGCACAGCTCTCCTGATGCTATCACAGCTACATGCTATCAGCTGTGTCTGCAGCTTTAACTTCAGGAGAACAGGATGTGTCAAATACTGAAGCTGCACTATTGATGGTACGCTTTAGTTCAAAGGCCTGATAAGGTCAGGTAATATTAAGAGAGCTGCCATCCTTGAGAGAGCTTTACTTCTGGCTTTCCCTCTGACAGTGTAAAGTACTGCCCCCTTGTGGCTCTTCTCTCTACTTCATGTTTAACCTGCATGTCAAAATCCTTCTTCCACTGCAGTGTTGTAGAGGACTTTTTACCCATAAGCCTAAATACTTTCTTAATGAGCCTTTTGTCACTTGTTTGGAGATTTTCTGGCACCTTTTAAAATTTATGAATAGCTTGAGAAACAACCTTTAGGAGCTAGAACAATGTACAAGAGTTGATTTTGTTTTTAAATTCATTTCTGTGACTGACGGCACATGAAACGGAATCAGAAGGTAGTCCTGGCCTCTCCTTAAAATCTTTGATCCACCTGGTATGAATCATTCTATCATTCTCTTCCTGCCTGTCTGGTCTGTGCTACCCAGCCCCACCTCTTCTGAGCCGCAGAGAAAAATCCAGATAACCCCAGCTATCTTTGCATCATCTCCCTCTGACCCATAACCTTTGGAAGTTAAACCAGCCTTAACACTGAATCTACAGCTCGGAAACAACCTTTAGTCTCCCTCCCTGAGCCGATAGAGAGAGGTGGAGATCTGCCAGGCTGGGAAGGAGGGTTTCTCAGACTAGAGGAGTGGCACCCCTTTGCAGTGGAAAGCCGAGAGCGAGGGGGCTGGCCATGTGGGCTCTGTGTGCGTGAGAGGAGGGAGACCCCGATTCCTCTCTGCACACTGTGAATCGGGCTGCCCCTCTCTATGGCAGGAGGAATTGGGTCTGCATCGCGAGTGCCTGTAGAACCAGCCAGTTGTGTGGTTTGTAGGGAATGTTGTGTGTTTGTGTATTGATGTGCTGAGAGGCGTGTCTGAATGTGACAGGACAGCGGGCAATTGCACAGCACCGTGTCTTTTGCACTTGGCCCTGGGGTTAGAGGTAATGAGCGACAGCAGGTGGCTGGAACAGCAGAGACAGTTTAATTAGATCAAATTCAGTTAATTAGGTGAACATCTTTTCATCACACCTAATTAATGCTGGGTAATTTGTACTCCATTGGTGATGCTGATTAAAGAAAGGTTGCGCCTTTCTCCGATGAAGCCATTGCAGCTGACAGTGGGCGATACAGCCTGTCAGAGCAGTGTGTGTGTCTGTAATAATCCCTGGGCGTCAGGGTGTTTAACCCCCTAGGAACTCAGAGGGCCGTGACAGTGAGACGGCACAGGCATATTGTATTAGTCGTGTGAAAGACATGCAGGTCACAGTTTTATATCCTGTGCAAGGGGTCATAATACATCAAAACCAGCAACCAATTACATGCCCATAATTAATTGTGTAAGGTACAGCAGTCACTTCATGTGAGCCGGATGTCTAGGAGAATTAACATTCACTCACTTTTAAATGAATATAATTTGTAGTCAGAAGCTGCACTTCATCTGCCCGAGAACAGGCACTTGCTTGGCGATATGGAGTGCCAACTAGAATAACGACAACTGTCTGCACTTGTCTCTTTCCCATCATCCCTCCACAGGTGTGCTGAGTGGAGCAGAGAGAGGGCCTGAGCGATGCCTGCGCTGCAGGGGTAGAAGAGAGGAGGAGGGGGGCGGGAGAGGAAGGCGATCCCAGGCCAGGCGGACGGACATGAAGCTGAAGCAGCGCGTGGTGGTGCTGGGCGCGGTGCTGCTCCTGCTGGGGCTGGCCAAGGTCTTCCTGCTGGACGGCGGGGAGGGGTCGGCCACCAGCCGCCGCGACCTGCGCGCCTTCCGCCGCATGGAGGCGGGGCTGCGGCTGGCGCGGGGGGCCAAGCTCACGCACACCCTGCAGTCGCCCTGGGAGGTGGCCGCGCAGTGGGTGGGGCCGCGGGAGGTCTACCCCGAGGAGACGCCCGAGCTGGCGGCCGTGCTCGGCGCCATGGCCACCGCCCGTGTGGAGCGCGCCGATGTCGGGTACAAGGGCACCCAGCTGAAGGCGCTGCTGGTGCTGGAGGGCGGGCAGAAGGTCGTCTTCAAGCCCAAAAGGTAACGGCAGCGGGCCGCCAGCACCGCGCGGCGCTTGTTCTTGTGTAGAAGGGGCGCTTCCCATAACTCCCGCAGTCTGTCCCAGCCTGAGGTCAGCGAGTCGCCCTTAGATCCTCGCACATTGCAATTTTATGCACAATATCCTGCCGAGTAAATGTCAAGTGCACGGGAATGGGAATGTGTTTATCACACTTCTCACTTTTTTGAATATTATTTTTATTGTGTATGAAATGTAACCTCCTGTTGTGATGCATTGTGCTTTGCAGATAATGGGTGAACATTGTGTATACCACAGGAGCACAGTGTTTTATTTTATCGTACACACTGAGTCCTGCCCGGTTGAAATTCGCATCCCGTAGCATGTTTAGATTGACCCACTGCCAGGGAAACGATCGATCTTATAGTATGTCAATCTCCTGCTGTACGGTTTTCACCCTCCCACAGTGCCAAGATTGTTTATTTGAGTTGAAGGGTGTGTAGGATTATCACTCAGATTAACGCAATATCCTGCTGCTACATCCTTCTTCCTCAGGTGGATACATTCTCAGGCCGTGCCTGGAGTCAACATCATCTGTTTTTTTTTTCCCCATCAGAATCCTAAAAAAATTGATGATGGGTGTTTTTTTTTAATCTTCCTGTGCATGTTCCTGGTAAAAAGGCACCTAAATCACGGTGTGCTTGTCGGCTCATAGGGGTGAAAACAGGAGTTCTCAGCCCCTTGATTCTGCGTCTTACTGAAGAATTGCTTTTTGGCTCTTGGATGGAGATGTTGCTGTGTTCAGTGAGCCACGGTCTTTTTCTTTCAGGTACGGTCGTGACTATGTGGTAGAGGGGGAACCCTATGCTGGGTATGACCGACACAATGCTGAGGTGGCTGCCTTTCACCTGGACAGGTAATGACACCTGGTGCAGGTGTGCTGGTATAGATTTGGATGGTAGAGCACATCTCGCTTTTCATTGTCTTATCTCGCCACCTGTCCCTTTCACCTTTTCCCTCCCCCTGTCTTCCTGCCTGCCTCTCTGCTCTGTTTGTCTTCCTGTGACCGGCGATCCCTCCCATCACTCTCTCTGTCTCTCTGCAGGATCCTAGGCTTCCGGAGGGCGCCCCTAGTGGTGGGCAGGTTTCTGAACCTGCGGACGGAGGTCAAGCCAGTGGCCACGGAGCAGCTGCTCAGCACCTTCCTCACGCAGGGTGAGTCTCTCCCTCGGAGCCGGGCGCCCGCAGTCACTCCAGAGCTCCGAACCCAGTGACCACAGGCGTGCCCCGTCATGCCTCTGCCTCCCCCTCTCTCAGGAAACAACACGTGCTTCTACGGGAAGTGCTACTACTGCCGCGAGAGCGAGCCGGCGTGCGCCCAGGGCGAGGTGATGGAGGGCTCGGTCACGCTCTGGCTGCCGGACGTGTGGCCGCTGCAGAAACACCGGCACCCCTGGGGCCGCACCTACCGGGAGGGCAAGCTGGCACGGTGAGGGCGGGGCTGAGGGGAGGGGGGGGCGCTGTTGAGGAGCTGGCTGAACGCTGTAACGGGTGATCCACGAACCCACACGGGCAGGGATGACGCCACAACACACACTTCTTTTCCACTTCTCCAGAGGTCTGCTAGGCCACGCAACTGGATGAGAGCAGTTCTGAAATCGGTCCCAAGTATATATCCATTCCAGAACCCAGTTTTAAGAGCTGAAAGCAAATCGGCCCCAAAGATTAAACTGTCTGACATTAGCCTGCGATCAATAATTTGGCAGGATCAAACAGCAGAAGAATCGGGGGTTAGCCTGCACCAGGTGTGGGGAGCGCTGCAGTAGCAACTGTAGGGGATGGTGGCTCATGCTGGGTGCAGAGCTGCTTGTGTGCTCTGTAGCGTGGCGGTGATCTGAATCGGTGAGAGAGGCACAAGAGTTCTCTTTCCTTAGCCAGTCGGTCCGACAGGAGGCAGAGCAGGGATCGAGGAGGTGGGATCCATCAGGTGGGAGTGAGCTGCTGACAGGAGCCATGGGAGCGTGGGTGGGTGTGCGTGCGGTGCGAGAGCAGTCTACCGCGTACCCCTACTGACCGGGGTGCACAGCGACGTTCCCGCCGCCCCTGCCCGCACCCTGATGCGGCCCTGTCCACGCTCCAGGTGGGAGTATGACGAGAGCTACTGCGAGGCGGTGAAGAAGATGGCGCCTTACGATGCCGGCCCGCGGCTGCTGGATGTCATCGACACGGCCATCTTCGACTACCTCATCGGAAACGCCGACCGCCATCACTACGAGAGTTTCCAGGATGACGGTGGAGCCAGCATGCTCATCTTGCTGGACAATGCCAAGAGGTACGACGCAACGGACCACTTCCTGGGGGATAAGGCAGATGGTTACTGGCATTAACTGCGCCAGTTCTGTTTTTTTTCTGATGTCTGCTCTAGCAGTGCTAATCTCCCATAACAAATTAACTGGCAGTGATCTGTGCAGAAGAGTAAGAGAAACCTTATTTTTCTTGTTCAGACTTGGTCACAGCAGCCAGTGTCTTTTTTCATTTAATTACCTCTCCTGTTTTTAATCCTGTTTCAGCATGTGTAATTTCACCTCCCAGTTACTGAACATACTGTTCTTTCATCCTGAGTGGTCTTGGTGTGGCTGTTCTAGCTGAATTGTTTGAGACCTGGTGAATACAGGACTTGAATCAGGAATTTGGAGGAGGTGTAGCAATATTATATATCTATATGAAACCTCTAGTGCTCCTCTAACATCATTTTAGAATATAATATTAATCGATGGACATGTTTTGCTCGATCAAGCTATTGTTTGCCATGTGAATGGTGTGTGTAGCTGTGTTTCTGTGTTTGCTTGACAGCTTCGGGAACCCTGCCCTGGACGAGAGGAGTATTCTGGCTCCACTGTATCAGTGCTGCACGTGAGTATCTGCATCTCTGGCCGCTCTGCGGTGCTGTTCGTGTGCTGTTTCCCAGGCCTGTCTGCTCGAGTGTAGACATTCCCACTCTGGGGAACTCGGCTCCTACAACTACTCTGTAAATAATCTGGATATACTTGCCTCACGATTGAAAATTTCAGGTTTCTCCTGTTTCTTCTTGGCTATTTTAACAGCTCATAGCTTTGTAAAAGGATAATGCAGTTTCTTATTAAGAACTCACAAAGCTATGCACAAAGACCGTTTCGCCAAGAAAAAAGCAACACTTGAAAGCACAGTAACACGTCCTGAAACCCTTTGCTATTGCGTCATTATCATCACACATGTCCTGGGGTCTGGCAGCTGCTCACACAGCGCAGCAGAAACAGAGACGGAGGACGTCTTGTGACTCCACAGTCATGCGGAGGGCTGGTGGTGCCAGGCGCAGGCGTTGCCACCCTGTGAAATTCCTGAGCCTTGGGGCCGCCCCATCATAGGTACCCCAAATTCTAGCTGCCCTCTGAGCGAAGGTCTGTAGTGTGCTTCAGAGCTGATGGCTGTGCTGTGTGTTTGTGTTTTGATGGGCGGAGCGGTGGCTCTGTGGCTAAGGATCTGCGCCTGTGGCTGGAAGGTTTGCCAGTTCAAATCCCGCAGCCAGCAGAGGAATCCTACCCCATTGGGCCCCTGAGCAAGACCCTTAACCCCAGCTGCTCCAGGGGTGCCGTATAAATGGCTGACCCTGTGCTCTGACCCCCAGCTTCTCTCCATGTCTGTGTGTCTCATGGAGAGCAAGCTGTAGTATGTGAAAAGACAAATTCCTAATGCAAGAAATTGTATATGGCCAATAAAGTGATCTTCTCTTATATTAAAGCCACATACAGCACCAGAAAGTGATGCGGGTCTTGTTTGTCTTTCCCCTGGACCTGAAGGGCGGTTGAGGGCTGTGGGATTCCTGGACAGGCAGTGTATGCCTCCATGTCCGTTAGCTTTTGGCCTGATGAACGCCCCTGGGCCGCTCTCTCCTCTCCAGGGTCCGTGTGTCCACTTGGAACAGGCTGAACCTCCTGCGGAACGGGGCTCTGAGCGCGGCCCTGCGCACGGCCACCGCTCACGACCCCCTGTACCCCGCGCTGGCCGAGGCGCACGTGACCGCGCTGGACCGCCGGCTGGAGAGCATCCTCGCGACGGTGCGGCAGTGCATCGAGACGCAGGGCGCCGAGAACGCGCTCATCGAGGACCGCATGAACCTGCCGCACCCCTAGGGACCGGGAGAGGGGCCTGGGGGGGGGGGGCAGGGGAAGGAGCAGCCGCTGTCCTGGGACGCTGTAGCCCCTGCCTTTTGGGCCTCCCCACCCCATCCGGTTTAGAGCAGTGGGGCGCAGGGGTTACCTTCATGCTGCTGGACCTGCTTGGAATTTCCCTGCTTCAAAGGTCAGCATCGCTGGATCCACAGCGGGAGCCTCCATACTGTTAAGTGACATTTCGAGTGTCTACGCCAGTGGTGGGCGTGAGGCGCTGGGGTTGCCGGGCGTCGCTGGACACGAAGCAGAGGAGGAGCGCGGTCTCCTTGCCCACCGGTCTCGGGATTCTGTCTGGGGAAGCCGTCGCCGAACTTGCCTCGGGCAGGACTGTGGATCGAGCTGCCGGCTGTAGCGGGGGGCCTGCGGTGCTTTGGAGCCCTGGCTCACTAAGGGACAGCGAACTGTGCACACTAAAACGGCTCTTTCCAAAAGCGCGCGAAAGAGGACTGGGGCCGGAGGGTGGGGTTTGTCTTACTGCGTGAATAAACCTCAAGCGCTGCGGCCAACGCAGCCTGGAGTCGAAACCTGCCCTGAGCAAAAGTGTATAGACAATGTGTTAATAATGTTGAAAATAATTCTGGGAATTGTCATTATAATATTATGTAAAAGAACTGAGGATTCAGAGTTTAGGTGTGCTGTATAGCTGGGGGGTGTTTATCTGGACTGGGACGCTGCTGGAATCCAGGAAGGGTTGTACTGGGGGTGGGGGGGTAATTGTGGAGATGATTTTACATTAAAAAATGAGGTTTAGCTGCTTTTATTTTTATTTACTACACCTGACCTATACTTCCTTTCTGTCGTGGTGCGAGAGGAAGTGTAGTGTGTGTGAAAGGGAGTCTCTCTCTGGTCTCCCCAGGAACAAAGCGAGAACACGGCTTCTAAATTAAGAGCCGTAAGAAAGTGTGACTGAACCTCCAGCTTCGACTTTCATTTCCTAGGTGCCAACCTTTTGCGGTGCAGCTGATAAAGAAGTAGCATCTAAGACCGTCTCCATTTCTGACCCGGAGCTGAGCAGGCAAGGGTGACGGGTATCACTTCTTAATAGGTCAATTTTAAAATACGGTAACTTGGCACTATTCATATTTCTCTCTCTGTGCAGCCTTTGTGAGACAGAAAACATTTTTCAAGGTGTATTTTCCAGTCCTGAAGCCCCAGATACATTTTTAAAGATAATAACTCCCCAAGTTCTAAAGATTTGAAATTATTGATCTGTGATCAAACAGGTGATGTCTTACGATAATTTAGAGATCATAGGGCAGCAAAATTGGGGCATTTGGTTTTAGCCCTCAATTGCACAAAGTACTTGGATTAATTTATCACGAATTTTCATGTTTTCCCAATTTCTGTAAGACTGGACTGGGGCTCTGCAGGATCTGATGCAGGTAAGTCTGTGTTCAGCTGAAACGACTCCAGGCCTGGAAGGCAAGAGGGTTTCTGGTTGAGTTTTATTTATCTGATTGAACTAGTTGTTTGCTTGATGGGTTCAAGTTGAAACCTTTTTTTTGTCCTAGAGGGCTACAGATTTGAAGAGACCTATTAAACCTTCTAGACAGTGACCCTGAGGAGCACAGCTGGGTTCCCTGGTCTACATCTACTTATTTAATTTTTGGAAATGTTTACATCTCCATTCCAATGTGCGGCAGCTTGATGCTCTAGTTGTCTGCCTGTGAGATTAAGATGAGGTCGCCCGGTTCTGTTCAGTGGGTGAAGACTCTTCAAGAAGTTCCGCTGGGCGGATTAGAAGATTTAGGCATTATTCTGCTTATGATCAAGAAGGCATTTATTTTTCTCTACAAAAGTTTTTAAAAGAGTAAGGTCCACTGTGAAGTCCTTACACGCAGAACTAAGACTAGTTTTTGTGAGTTTATTGTGCATTTGAAACTGGAAGCCGGAGGCTGGGTCCTGTGAAGAGTATGGTATCAGGGTATGGTATCCTTGGAACAAGTTTTACTTACATATTTTAAGTACTGAATGTGCAACAAAATGCCTTGTGTAAGAGAGAAAGAGGTTTTCTTTATAAAGTTGCTAATTTCTACTACTGCCAATACTAGCACGGATATTCAATTCAAGCTTTATTGTCCCTAGGGCAAATTAGTTTTATATTGTACCGTTTCTTGTAATGGTTTAGATATGCGACTGAGAAACTCATTCATTTCTGCTCCTGTAGGGCTGTAGTCCACCGGGGTTCATAGGTAAACTATAATCGTTCATCACTAAAGACCTGGAAACGGTGATATACGACTGCACTGAAGCTCTTATGAATCAAAGTCAAGAAGTGAAACGCATTGCTGGGGGGGGGGGAGAAACGCAACATTTTCTGGAATGAGAATACTATAGGAGGAGGAGGTGTTGCGTTTCTTTTTTCTCTTCAGTGTCTTTCATGTGTGATACGAACTATATTTTTCTTCGAAACTACGAGACGCACATGAAATATTTTTTTCTTGATGGCAGTAGTGCGCTTCCTTAATTATGAGTTCAGGAATAATGTACAGCGGTCCTCTAAGACACGCATGTAAAGACATATCCGTTCCTTTGGTACTTGGACTGCGCTTCCAGCTCTGATACTGTAGGTGGCGGCGTATGTCAAAGCGGAGTGCTATAGAAATACACCAATAGAGGCGTTTTTAAGGAAGTTTTGTAAGGGAGCAAAGCGGAAGACTGCAACTAGGCGGGCTTTCTCCCCCCTTAGCAACGGTTCCTCCGTACAGCCTAGCAACCTCCTCCGGATCCAGCAGAGGACCGGGGAGTAGTCCGGCGCTATGGCGGCCCATGTCAGCGAGCTGGAGGCGGCGAAGAAGAACCTAAGCGAAGCCCTGGGAGAGAATTTGAAGCAGTGAGTAGGCCAGGCTAGGCTGCCCGACCATGCCTTTAAAGACGAATCCCCGCCCAGGGCTGTAATTTACCAGCGGAGCTGGCTCCCAGGGTCAGACGCTGAGTAGGCCTTGTAAAGCAGCGGGCTTTCCTGGCGTTGTGTTCCCGTCTTCCGCAAGCAGTACCTGCTCGCTTGCCTTCTGTTTAGAAACAAATGCTTGCTGTATTTCTATTCGTTATTTAATGCTTCTATTTGAAGTGTCTGTTGTCTTCTTTCACCTCGAACACAGGAAGTTACTTTTAAATTATTTTCTTTTTCTTAATTCTGAGCAAAAGTAGCACAAATCACGGTGGTGGGTATTCGAAACTCTGCTAGTTCTGTTCGGTCTGCTTGTTTGTCTTATGGACGATGTGCATTACTGTTCAGTTCAAGCCGCTTTTACAAGAGCCAGAGGTTTCTCTCCGTTTGTGTTATTATTTGAGAGAGTTTACTGCAACATCTGAGTCTTAGTTACTGTCGCAAAGTTGGAGCTCAGCTCTTGTGTAGTTAACGGGACTCGCCGGCGCATTTCGTTGTTTGGAATCTCGCTCAGGGCTGTTCTTGGCTTTATTTCACCGGATTGAAGTCGTTTTGCTGGCAGGCAGTTTTGTTCTGGATTCTCGGTCATTAATTTAAAGTTCACTTGTAAGTGTCCTGTTCCACCAACCCTCCTGACTTCGCAGGAAATCTGCGCTGTGTCGTGTCTCGTCTCCTGCACACCTCTGCAAAGCCTCCTCACAAATTTAGTTTTGTTCCGGGCTAAATTCCAACGTGTGGCAATGGTGGCGGTAAATTCCCGCTCACAGGTGTATTCAGCGTGTGCTGTGTGTAACAGGACCATCACTTTGTCCCACACAACCTGGGGCGCGTCGTGTAGCTGCAGAGGTTTGGAGTGTTTCGCAGACTGAGGCGCTCTCTTGTACAGACGTGTCTGTGACTTTCTGCAGGTACTGGGCAAACCTGAAGCTGTGGTTCAAACAGAAGATCAGTAAAGAAGAGTTTGACCTCGAGGCCAGGCGGCTGCTCAGCCCAGGGAACGGTAAGAACAGGCCTTCTGCAGGGGGGACTGCTGGGTAAGACTTGTCCTGCTTTATTGTAGTTGGTGCCGAAACCTTCAGCAGGTAAAGGTCTTCCACTGCAGCGTTCGGACTGCTCTGTTTGGTGGAATATTTTGTAAATCACCATTCGTTGGATTTTTAAAAATGTATCCTCGCACGTTCCTTGCTTTCTAACAGTGTTGTCTTGAATAAAGTGATTCCGAGCCCAGGGTTTATCAGTTGGGGTAAAGCATGCAGGGCACGTGTCTTTGAGAGTGTCCTGGTCAGTAAGCGCCCCTATGTTGCATCTTTCATTTTACAGGAATATAAAACATTTTACACACACTTTCATGTTTAGGATCTGTCTAGATATTTGCTTGTGGCACTTATTTTTAATAATAAAACGGTGTTAAACCCAATGTTCAAAAAGTTTTGAATGCCTTCTGTAGATAGGTGTATAAAACTCCTTATTTTAAAGTAATTGTTTATGAACAAACAGAATCCTCACCAGTTTTTTTTTACACCCACTTGATTTGGAATTGCCAGTTGAGTGTTTCTCATGACTCAGCTTGCATCCATAATCCCTGCTACCTCAAAGGGGAATGTGCTCAATTGGCGGCAGACTCCCCTCACTCTTCCATCTTTGAGCCTGTTGTCACAGGCAGCAGAGGCCCACACCTAAGGCTCAGTGCTGATTGGAGGAGAGGCGTGCCCCTCGCCAACAGCCCAGCATGCCTGCAAGTACTTGGAAGCCACAGGTGTCATTGTCAGCAAGAGCCGAGAGAGCCCTTGGTGGACTAACCCTACTCATCCTTGGCACTCAAACCACCATGCTCAGTTACAGTTGGCTGGTGACATGACCCACGCCTCATGAAAAGCGCACGTTTACTGGATCCAGTCATTTTTTGGCATAGTTTTTTGTTCTGAAGAAAATCTGCGAAGGTCTGACTTAACCTCCTAAGGCACTTTGACATATAAAAGATGTGGCACAATACATTTACACTGGTTTTAAAATGTACACTGTAACTCAAATCTTGTCAGTTTACTTTTTTTTTTAGTTTTCCTCATTTGAGAACTTGGCTTCTTAATTCTGTGAAGTCAGCAGTTTCATTTTACCTTTTCAGTCAAGTGTGGTAAATATTAGAAAGTTTGAATGCCAAAAACATTTAGGAGATTAACCCCTTGTGAAAGAGGAGGATGGATTGCCGCACACACTGACACATGCCGGCATCTCTCTGCAGTGCACTTCCACAATGACTTCCTGCTGGCCATTCTCACCCGCTGCCAGATCATGGTCTCCACCCCAGGTAAGAGGCTTTGCGATCGCAGGGAATTTTTTTTCCTTTGTCAAATTGAAAACAAGACCACAGTCAAACTGTAATATGTCTGGAATGTTGAAACTGTGTGGTAGCAGTTCCAGTTTGAATTTTGCCAACTTTAAAAAAAAGATAATACTTATTTTTAACTGTCCTGGAGATTCCATGGTTATCCTACATACAGTCATACCTGAACTCTTCTCTGAATCAGTAAATTGGCATCCTATGCCTAATATTTCTTAAAATTCCTTAATTTCCCCACATGAGTTTTGGTTAGTAGAAGTTCCCTTTCCCTGACACACAGACAGTTGTTCCAGTCAGTAGATGGCAGCAGTCTACACTTGTAGGGTGCAGTAAGACGTAAGTCTCTGCTGATGTTGACGCTTGTGACACAAAGTGTGCGTTGGATAAACGCATAACACAATAGAGAGTTTTTGAAAGGAGATACTCACCCCTGGACTTAATAAAACAGAATATACAGACTACTAAGTTAATGTACATGAATTCAAATTTTAATATTTTGCTATTTGTCATAAAATGTCGTCCCAAGATCAGAAATACTTGCACAAGCAGGTAATGCAAAACTGATCTTGGGTTAGAATCGGCGGGTTTTATTCTTCAGAGAAAGTCTGTCCCCTCTCGATAGAACCAGTGAAAGAGAGGTCTCGGATTCATTTGTTCTCTCCCTCTCCTTGTTAGTCCTTGCCAGCTGTGCTTGTTTAAATTTCAAATGGGAAGCTTCCTCAGGAGAAGAGATGCAGAAACATACAGGTCTACAGTGCTCAGTTGGTAAAGCTCCTTTGCTTGGAGAGCAGTGTGAGCTCCAGGACTTGGACATTGCTCCTTCAAAGTTCAGTCATGTCACCCTCCGTCAGTGACAGCGCAGGAAGTGGAAGAGCAACCAGGTGCCTGTGGCTTTGAAGGGGACACGCAGGGTGACACTCAGCACTTCCTCTCCTGTGGACAGGTCATGACGAGTGGCTCAGCAGGTGGACATGTTGCAGGAGTGCAGCCACGTGTATCCCTCTCTCCTGAGCAGTGCAGGGACTGTTGCAGGAGAGCTTAGTCTTGCTAATTCTAAGGGAGGCAGGAGTATAATGGGAAATAATTGGCCATTGCAAGCTCAAAAACGCTTTGTGAGAAAGAAAGAAAGGCAAAAATAGCAGGAACATGAAATACTACAGTACGTGTAGTATTGATGGATATGGTAGTTCACTGTTTCTGAAGACTCCTTTTGCTGTGCTGGATTATGACGAAATATTTGCATTAATCTCCAGGGAAGTCACTTACTGCATCAAATGCAGTTCTAACTTATTCAGTTTAGTTTGTGAGTATGTGTGAATTGGCTG